AGAGACGTTCTGCCTGTAACCTCAGCTCTTACAGTCTGTTTATTACATTCAAACCTCCATAACTGCTTCCATGAGTTGAGTTTGGGCAAGTTGATTTGAGGCATTCTTCAAGGGGTTTATATGTTCTTCCTTCTGCCAATATCTTTTTTGTTTCATCCTCTTTCATTCAAATTTAGGGAGAAAGTATTGGTTTTTGAACATCTTCAGATTTTTTGCTCATTGTAGTGACGTGTACAGGGAAGCCATTGATGACTCTGGGTTCCATGGAGGAGGATTGGTAACCTAGTAGGTAAAGCGTGGCTTGCAAGTCTGTGTTTTATTCCCAGGTGGGAATAACACTATAGGAAGTCTGTTCTGGTGTAGGTGGGTTCGGTATGAGAAATCCAGTGTCTGTCTGTCACTCTGATGTAGTTAGAATATTGCTTACAGCAGCAGAACACCAGTCATCCGCTCAGTCACCTTCTGTTCCTGGGAAAGAACAGGAATTATTTCAGAGTTGTCGGTGTGGATTTTGTTCTGATGTAAGTGCTGCTGCCTGCATTATGTAATTGGTTTGTGATAAGATTTGGCCTACATGTCAGCAACCAGACAAAGGTGACTGAGAAAGATTTAAAATATTGATAGTGTAAATGAGCCTACAGAGAATTGCATGCTGGGAATGATAGTCTGAGGGGAATCTGAGTCGATGACCATTGCCAGAGAAGTGACACGTGGGGAATGAGTTGGCGCTGGCCAGCCAAGGCGGGATGGACAATAGACTTTGATCTGATGATAAGAAGTCTGTGAATGCAAATGTCTAGCTGGACTACAGGACTTATAATGAACTTGCTCTGCGGACAGAGAGATGCTGTAGATAGAATATATGTTGGTGTGTAATTGTGGACCAAAATGACTTTTGTCTGCTCGTGTTATATTGGTTCTTTAGATAAGAAATATTTGAACACTGAAATATGCTTAGCTATTTCTTTGGTAAATGAGGCCTTATAAGTTAAATGAACGTTTACATGTACTTTCTGGAGATTTTTCAGTAAACATAACTGAAATGTTTATGAAGGCATATGCTAACGTTCCTTGTTGGTAATAGTGTACAGTTTACCCGACAACAGACTTAGGTCAACTTCAGCTGTTGTTGGACTGATTGACTGACTGAGTTTGGTTTTACGCCGCTTTTAGCAATATTCCAGCAACATCACGGCGGGGGGCACCATAAATGGGCTTCACACATTGTGCCCATGTGGGGAGTTGAACCTGGGTCTTCGGCGTGACGAGCCAACGCTTTAACCATTAGGCTACCCCACCGCCCCAGCTGTTGTTGGAGATCAGGACAGTTCTTGTTGCTGATCAATAGGTCCTATTGTAATCCCCATGGACGACCACAATGGACCTTTGGGATCAGGACAGTTCCTGTTGCCGATCAATAGGTCCTATTGTAATCCCCATGGACGACCACAATGGACCTTTGGGATCAGGCTCACTGGCTGATTGCGTGTTGCCATGGCCTAGTTTTTAAGGATTGGTGCTCGTGTTGTCGGCCACTGGTTTCACTTGACTGGTTAGAGGCTGCAGTGTTGGGTGGAATATTGCTGACTGGAACTGACAGCCTTCTCCCTCACACCTGGTGTAGTAAGGTGGATGATCTACTAGTTTGACTGCTACTGCACAATGATTTAAGTTGGAGAGAAAATTCAATCATATTGGGTTACCATTGGACTGCATCAACATTAAGAGTACATCATCACATCCTCACGCCTACACCCATCATGGCGCCTACACCCATCATCACGCCTACACCCATCATCACGCCATGGCTCCAGTCAGCCTGGGCAATGCTCATCTGCCATTATATCGCCATATCTTTTTCACTGTTCCTGTGAGACACTCAGCAAAGTTTTGACATTAATTGCCTGTATCTGTGTCCAGAAATGAGTGACTTGTAACTGAGAAGAGTTGCTCTCTCCTTGCCACAGCCATTGTCTGTAGGTGCACACGTTGTATCTCAGGTCACATGGTACCTGTGGAGGCTGCTGATTGGTTAGCTCAGGTGGAAAGTGAAGTTTAGATTATGGCATGTTATTTTGATAACATGTGGAAGCAGACTTGTTTGATTTTATCAGATAATAAGTGTGAAGCCTTTACTTCCTAATAGCATAAGAATTTGGTAAAGAGGGATTATGTTTTAAAAAAAAAAGATCACTCCTGCAGAAAAAGAGTGAATGAGTTTAGTTTTACGCCACATTCAGCAATATTCCAGCTATGTGGCGGTGGTCTGTAAATAACCGAGTCTGGACCAGACAGTCCAGTGATCAACATCATGGGAATTGATCTGCAGAAAAAGTTATCAATTTAGTATTATATTTGATGATATGGAGAAAAATACATCCTTTTTTTGTTAGTGCTATTTTTTAAACAGTTGTGATGAAAAACATAATTATTTTTATATGAGCTGCAGTTATATAAACAGTTACTTACCGGGCCGCTTACTATATTCTAGAAGCAATTCTTGATATTGACTTCTGACAGTAGCTGTTGCACAAAGATCATCATGAGGAATGGTATCTAGGATGACATGTGCTTGTATGACTGGTCATTGTGACTCTCAGTTCATTCATGTCAGGGCAATGGGGCAGCCTAGTGGTTAAGGCGTTAGCTCATCACGCTGACGTCCCGGGTTCGATTCCCCACATGGGCACAATGTGTGAAGCCCATTTCTGGTGTCCCCTGCCGTGATATTGCTGGAATATTGCTAGAAGCGGCGTAAAACTAAACTCGCTCACTCATTCATGCCACAATAAGGTTCGAGTTGTCGTCATCACCAGGAAGATAATGGTCAGAGGTATTTCATCATCTGCTCTGTAATTTGAATAATGATAATGTGAATGGATGCATTATCAAAATATGAGATATTAAATCTTTGCTAGCAGATGTAATTGTCTGCCAAGGAATAACAAACAGATTGGTTTAGAGTGCAAGTTACAGCATGTTAAACAAGTCATTACTGTCAGTGGTTTCAAAGCTCATCTGTCGTTATTGTGTGAGAATACAGATTGTTTGTTTTTAATTTGTGTTTGTCGGTAGTCTGTGTTACACAATGTTCTGTGGGATATGGCTGTGATCAATCAGCAGATTATTACTGCATGTCTGTTGTGGGGCAGTGTGACCTGTCATCACCTACTGCCTGTGTTTGGTTAATGTCTGCTGGTTGAAACACCTGCTTTCAGCACATACTGGCCTATTCAACAGTTTGTCATGATCAATGAATGAGAGATAGTATATTTTTTATGCCCCCGCCATATATGGCAGGGGCATATAGGGTTACCCTCGGTGTCCTTTACGTCCGTCCGTCTGTCCGTCCGTCCATACGAAACAGGAAATGTATTCTATCCACTTCTCCACCATAACCGCTCTGTGGAATTCAATGAACTTATACATGGGCTTTCTTTGGACTCTAATGGTGTGCATCTCATATTTTTTTTGTCGACTTTTTCTGTTGTTGTAAGTTTAGAGACATTTGAACTTAGGTACATTTTGCTGAATTTCTCTATGATGATAGTGTAATAGGGGATGAAGTCTATCCACTTCTCCACAAAAACTGCTCAACAGAATTGAATGAACTTCTACATGTCTTTTGTAGGGACTCTAAAGGTGTGCATTTCAAAATTTTTTATGCAATTTCTTAATTTTGTCACTTTTACAGATGTTTGAACTTAGTTGAATTTGGTTCTATTCAGCCAATGTTCGTTCCATCCAACAGGGGGTGTACGTTATCCACTCCTCCTCAAAAACTGCTTTATGGAATTCTTTTAGATTACGCATGTGCTTTATAGGGACTCTAAAGTCGTGCATCTCATATTTTGATTTTGTATTTTATTTATTTTTACAATTTTAATGCCGTTTGAACTTAGATAAATTTTGTTGAATTTCTCTCTGAATATAGTGTTGTAGGGGTGAAGTCTATCCACTTCTCCACAAAAGCTGCTCAACAGAATTGATTGAGCTTCTACGTGTGGTTCATTGGAACTCTAAAGGTGTGCATCTCATACCTTGTTCATCCAATTTCTTAATTTTGTCACTTCTACAGATGTTTGAACTTAGTTGAATTTGGTTCTATTCATCCAGTTCGTCCCATACAACAGGGGGTGTACTTTATCCACTTCTCCTCAAAAACCACTGCACAAAACTCATTTAGCTTACATATGTCTTTTATAGAGACTCTTAAGGTGTGCATCTCATATTTTGTTTTCGTATTTTATAATTTTTGTATGTTTAGAGAATTTTGAACTTAGATACATTTTCCTGAATTTCTCTCTGATGATAGTGAAATAGGGGATTAAGTCTATCCACTTCTCCACAAAAACTGCTCAACAGAATTGATTAAGCTTATACATGTGTTTCATTGAGACTCGAAAGGTGTGCATGTCATAGTTGTATAGATGTTTATTGAACTTGTTCGTGAATTTTGTTCAATTATTGATCTTTAAATGTCTTATGAATGTCAGCGGGGGCATCCGTGTCCCTGGACACAATTTTTTCTTGTTTTATTTTTGTCACTCATTCGACCATTTTTGATAGCTACAGAGTTTGTATATTTCTTACAATCTGTGAATCATATCAATCAATCCATTCACATAATACCCTGGACTTGTTACTGACAGGTGAAACCAACTGAATCGTTCCCCTTTGTTGTGCAAGGATCCTATGAGTAATTGAATTCCAACTAACCAGCTGTTGGGATGGGACATGATTAGCTTAGTTGTCTATGAAAATTCTATTCCCCCTGCAGAGTCGCCTCCTTCGGGTCTTCACAGTCCGACGGTTGGAATTCAAAATGAATATTTAATTGGCCTCGTCTTAATTCTTGTTTAGTTGGCACCATAACCATACTTGCATCAGGGTCTCCAGGTGATATCACTTAAAATCATAATTATTTCACAACATTTTTGTCTCTTGGAACAGTGTTTCATGTTGTCAATGTGTCTGACAGTATCTGTCTTTTGTTGCAGCCTATATACCCAGCCTTGTAGTGTTCCCGGCACCATCACCGATGTTATGTTTATGAGCAATGCCTGCGGGTGGCGACACCTACGATGACCATACCCTGATGCAGTCATACCAGCTGCAGACCAATGAATCTTTCAACGTTGCGGATGAATCTGCAGCCAGTATTCTGAAATCTGTGAAGGCACAGGTCAGTTGACATACGTTTGTGGTTGCATTCTAAAATATATAATCGGATATAATACATGCACACTGTACCTATTAGTGGTAATTAAGAAAATAATATATGAAAATGCTGAAGTCGAACCTGTCTTTGTATGTAGTATGAGTGTGTTTGTGTTGTACAGGATTTGTACAACACATCTGGACCTGGTTCAACAAAGCTGCTATGTTTGTAGTGCATGTGTACAATTCAAGAATTATTTCAGTAGAAGAATTCCAAGTTTGAGTTTGACTTTGCTCCTAAAATTCTGCTAGGTTTAAGATGGAAGACATTGCCCTGATACTATATATTCATTCAGAACAATGTGTTCTTGAAGAACCAGCTACACATTGTCAACTTTCTTCTGAAAACCAAATGTCTTCTTGAAGTTCCCAATAAACATTGTCAAGTTTAATGTAAAAACCAGATGTCTTCTTGAAGTCCCTGATAAACCTTGTCAGGTTTCTTATGAAAACCAAATGTCATTGTCGGGATTAAAGGCACTGTATCACACCACACTTCTCTAACAGTAAATAATGCATTTCTGTCATTTCCCCCAAAAATATATATATTTTGTTTACAATGTTAAATTAAAAATTTCAAATGAATTAATGCAATGTTGCATTAAATAGACTCTCATGCCCTCCACCGGCTGAACATTATTTCAAGCGAACCCCATAGAGTTATGTCCCTTGGAGCTCTCTTTACAAATATCTTACACACAACTTGTGATTGAAACCAGTTCGGCAAACACAGACAACAACTCGTGCGACAGTTTTTGATGTACGGTGCAATTGTTTACATTCCATATATGGCAAGTGTTCACTGTTTGGAAGCTGTTCGCCTCAAAGTACCAATTATCAATTTCAGGCAAGTCTGAAGGGATAAAAAGACTTTTATTGCATCATTAGGAAGCTAAAGTGAGTGCATATGACCCAATATATATAGTGTAGGCCAAAATATTGTTGAAAATGTGTGACATTGTGCCTTTAATGTAAAAACCAAATGTCTTCTTGAAGACTCCTCTACCCTGTGTTCAATGAACATATTTGGATAACCTCGTCCCTGCTACACATCTTACAATAGATATGCTAATGTTATTTCTGTTTTCTGTAGGTGCTTCTGGCTTACTAGTAAGTAAATTCATGTTTGGTGAGGGTGTATTAAATAACTTTTATTTTCATTTCCTATATAAACACATATCCCAAGTTTTTGTGAGGTGATTTTTGTTTTGTACACTTATGTATTAAGTGTGGTAACCTGTTAGAGGTTTAGTTAGTAGAAACATGGTGTGGTTTTCTAACTGCTTAAATACTATTTATGTTCAAATTAATTCATGCTTCCTCAGATTATTCAATTAATATTTTAGTACACCTTAGGTATGTAGTTGTTGAATAACCCATACTATAGCTTACAGAGGAGAATATACACAGGTCGTCAAGAAGGAGGTCAGTTCTTGGCAAAATAAGGATTGTAATAACTGTATTCCCACAGAAAGAACTGTATTGGTTTGATACATCCTCTGCTTTAAGCTCAATAACAATGCTATGAGGACTTTGTTCAGGATGTAAGGGGCCTTTGGTAGTGTAGTGGACAAAGCATAAACATGTCACATTGATGTCTTGGGTTTGATTCCCGACATGGGTACAAGCTCATTCCACATGTACCCAACAGTTACAAGGCTGGAATATTGCTAGCACTAGTAGCAGGGTGTAACACCAACCCTCTGTCTCAGTAACTTACAGAAAGTTGGCGCTATTGTTTATGTCTTGAATTGGACTAAGAAATTCCCTCAGGTTCAAAGAATGACCTGAGAGATAACCTGTTGTTTCTAATCAGCTGTACCGTGACCTGAAAGGTAAGCCTGTATACAATTATTGACCTGAGGGCCGGTGATCTCTCTTGGTTTGTTGGTGACCGATGCCTCGTGTGGCTCCACTGGCGTATTGTGATGACCTCATTTGACCCCCCATGATGGTGCTAGGTTACACCCCCTAGTGTGACTAGGGTCATTTAGGGTCAGGTTGTTACAGGTAATTTGTTTACGGGGATTGAGTTACACAGGTAGTTGATTGTGAAACATCAATTGTAGGGAACAAGTGTGCCAGTTGTCAGGTGGATGTCGGCCATATGCTGCTGGTGGAGAGTTACCTGTATAGCTTTCTTTCTCCTCTGTATTGCATATTTGTTGCCTGATTTCCCAACATATCCTGAGGTCATTTAAAACTTCCTGTAAATATCATTTTAGTGAGATAAAAAATCTGTCCAAATGTCCTCTTGTTCATTCAAACCACAGAGACATATTTCAGTCCACTTTGCTGTATTGTGTATATGTAAGACTGATTAAACTAAGAAGAGTGGTGAGGTCATGTGTGTAAACGTGATAAGGGATAATTATTACAGGTGCACTCAGATGGCTCAGGCGAAACCCAAATATTAATTCCATATTTCAATGGAAATGAAAATATACATGAACTATTTGTGTTTGGCTGTGAGTGTTGGTTGCATGCACCAGTATGTTTTGATTACATCTTGGCCTCGTTAGCAGGTATTTTGACACACCTGTATGGATAGGTGTTGTGGCTCATACATGGTTATCATGGACAACTCAGGTGTAGTTTTGGTACTCCCCTCCCCTCCCTCTGCTCCCCTCCCCTCCCTCTGCTCCCCTACCCTCCTGTCCACTCCACTCACCTGTGATCACCACCAACAACACTGAATTGTTTGTTATAGTGGATGCAGTAGCTGTCACGTGCCTATAAAACTTGATGTCTGTGTAGTACAGGGCGTTAATATCTGCAATATACTCTCATTATGTGAGTTTAATGTGATGATGATATTTCTTCTTACACAGAGAGTTAATGAACTTCGGGTTTATAAAAGGTGATTGGAAAAGCCAGAGTCCTCTTTTAATCTGACAAGACATTTTGCATGCTTCAGGTCTAGCACTGTATTTTTAATTGAGCTAAAGAAACAAACGCTCTCTTTCCTTGATTGTCATTTGAAGGTTACAAAGGGAATGCTCCTATTTGTTTATTTTTGAACAGCTACTTTAAACTGTAGTTGGTCACAAAAAGGTTGGTATGTGAGATTAAGGCTGCAGTTTACACAACAAAAGACAAGTTGGTATGAGTTGAGATGGAGTTGTTATACACCTCCTGGTAATTACGAGACGTAGTGTCACAGACAGACAACTGACAGGTGGGAATGTTGGTGATGTGGGGGTGTGTCTGAGACCAGGAACAGGTAGGAAGTCTCGGGTTGATGTTCAATTTTGTGGATGACGACTGAGAATTGTCAACACAAAGGGAGACAATTAGTAAATTTGCATAATGGGAGGTCCACGGAATGGAGGACAGTTTGTCAGCTGCAAAGACCAGGATGATGAGCTTCTTCAGTAACTTTAAACATGCTCTTTCTATCAACCACTTGTTTGTATGGGTATTTGAAAGACCTGATCTGTAAGGAAGATCTGTCCTGGATAGTTTTGTGATCTGCTTGATCTGCTTGATTGTGATAAGTTCAACTTGGCCATAAATTGCAGTCATGGATTTTTTGTATTGGCTGGATAAAGAATTTAAAAAAATACAGTGATAGTGAATTGGTGAGAGTGACACAAGGACTGGTGGTATTTACAAAATGACGCATCTGCACGCAGGTTCTCGGTTGTTCTGTGACAAGGCGGAATTAAGAGGATTGACGTCCTGAGATGGCATCATGCAATTGAGTCTTTACACGCACAGTAGCAAGCATAAATCACAGCAGATGGATCTCTAGCACTAGTGGTGATGTTGTCAGGCATGCTATGATTTCTGTCAGTTTGGACACCAACTGAATCCAAATATTTCTAGAATTATGTAATGAATGTAAACAGTTAAACAGATTTGTTTTATCCAGGGATCCCTGTAAAAATAAGCAGATGGCTTCAATGCTGAAGACAGAAACTTCCTGTTTCTATGGATTCTTTTCTAATGAAGTTTATTGCTTAAAAAGATTTAAAAAACATCATCTTACCAAAATGATTAAATTCACATGGTCATCAGATTTATTGTGAGTGGTTGCATCTCTTAAATGCTCCACAAAGCTATGATTATTGGTTGGAATCCCAGATTTGCCTTGTTAATTTGCCCTGGTATTTTTCCTGGGTTTGTCAGTTCCATGTCTGTGCTGGTGAATGTCTAAAACCTGTGCACTTTGGGTGTTCTACCCACATCAAATGTGATGGTAAAACTGAAATCCAACATTAAGCCAACTGTACTCACTCATCCTCCATGGAGCAGACGGCTTCGGGTGTGTGGTTAATTCAGCCCCAGACATGCTGATGGGACACAATTTACTCTCCACCCCAGGGGAAAGATCATGAACACACCATGAATCTCAGGTCCAGCAGCGGCAGCATACTGGGCTTAACCCCTGGCCTGCTGACAGTGGTCCCAATTATTGCCTTGATGTCAGGCTGCCAACACAGTGGTTAATCAAGTTCCTGGAGGGACAACATAATTTGGCAGACTGAGCCTGCAATCAGTGTCATATCACACTGGCAACATACACAATTTCTTGTGGATTTTATTACGTTGTGGGTGTGTTGGAAGGAAGGACATTCAATCAGCTGCAGACTGCTTGACTCTTGTTGTACAGGTCAGACTGCAGACTGGAATCTTGTTGTACAGGTCAGGCTGCAGAGTGGGATCTTGTTGTACAGGTCAGGCTGCAGAGTGGGATCTTGTACAGGTCAGGCTGCAGAGTGGGATCTTGTTGTACGGGTCAGGCTGCAGAGTGGGATCTTGTTGTACGGGTCAGGCTGCAGAGTGGGATCTTGTTGTACAGGTCAGGCTGCAGAGTGGGATCTGTACAGGTCAGGCTGCAGAGTGGGATCTTGTTGTACAGGTCAGGCTGCAGAGTGGGATCTTGTTGTACAGGTCAGGCTGCAGAGTGGGATCTTGTTGTACAGGTCAGGCTGCAGAGTGGGATCTGTACAGGTCAGGCTG